GCCTGGGTTACGTCCAATGATAGCCTTGGTGTGTGTCCCGACTGTAAGTCAGCTTCACTTTGGGGTCCATGTGCTGTTGGCAACGTGGCTTGGCGGCCGGCGGGTGCTGGCGGCTGTGATGCCATCAGTACTTTCTTGTCGTTGTCATCAAATTGATGCCAATTCTTCTTGCCCGTACTGGAAAGTGGGTCCAATGTTGGTCTGGGAGCCGGACAGAGGGTCTCTCATGGCCGCAAACGCTTGGAGATGATGGGGTCATCTGGTGGGCTATCCATGCCATCAGGTTGCCCGATTTCATCCTCAGACTCTTCATCATAGTCATGTTGGCTCTGCGAGATCTACTAGGGGGTAGAAGCTTGTGGTGACATCAAATCTGGTAGCAGATTGGTCAAGACCTCCTTGTATTTCTCATATGAATAGGATCATGTGGGCACCGTACTGCACATGTTCTCCTGTTCTCTGGCCTGATGTCATTGAGGACCTTGATGTCGATGAAAGCCTGCTGCAGGAACAGTTTCTGGATACTATCACTGAGTTTATCCTGCGCTTGGTCTTGGAGTCATTGTACCGTGAGAACCTCATCTAGTGGATGATGAACTCCACGCAGAACCCTTGGTTGTGGAGTACTTGACCCTGGTGACCAGTTGAGGGTCTCCACAGACTCCAGTGTACCTTCCACAGAGGTGTGGCATCCTGGATCAATGCATGTAGATATGAAAGCATCACAATCATGAAAATGTTCCTTGACTATCACCTGCCCTTGGTTGTCTTGATGATTTTCTGCAGGACCGCATAGAACCATTCGTTCATCCTACGGAGCTCAGAAGCAGACTCCTGGTCCAATGGCACATAATTGGAGTCAAAGAGAGCGTAGAATCCCTGTGCCCTAGCCTTTGTTATAAACACGCTGTACAATTGGTCGAAATCCTTGTTTGACTTGAGGGTGGTGTACGCATTGGCATCGGGTTTAGCATGGAACAACTTGCGTCTGGGACCTTCTCCTCCTCCACCTCCCCCAGGGCCAGCTGGATGGTCACCACCGCCATCGGGATCCCAAGGATTCCCAGGGGGCCTCCGCCTGGGAACAATACCCGCCCTGTCTGCAAAGCCTTTTTGCCACCACCACCATGTAGCCGGAGCCACCAGGGTTCCAGGATCACAAATCTTCTGGAATCCTGCCTTGATTACCTTGTCCATATGAGATGTCCCTTCTAGATGGGAGAAGAGAGATGGTTTGGACCTGGGCCTTACAATATCGCTGCCTACCTGCTTGGATGGCTCCTCCATGTGCGCGGTCTGGTATCCAGGTGAGGTATAGGCTGTGGTGGAGTGAGGCTGTGGTGACTGTGTGTGTGGGTGGGTGGCTGACATGGTTGAAGAACCTATCCCTGACATCAGAGATGATCCACTCTCCTTGGTCAGTGAAGAATAGACCGTCAAGGATACCTTCTGTTGACCAATGTGCAGGGTTGGTTGGCACATTGGCAGGGAGTTCATCAGCACTCAATGCCTGTCATAGCGGACCCATACCTTCCGCATGTCGGGGTTATGATCCACCTTCCTGAGTAGTGTGTTTCCTGTCTGTGGGCAATGCCTCTGGAAAGATGAGATTCTGGCTGTCTGTAGAACGGTTGTCGTCTCCAGATCTGTGGTACCGTTTGGGGTATTGGAAGATGGCTGTACTGCTAACAGGTTGAACAGGTTGAGTTGGGGCGTGGTTGGATGACACCGGTGGTACAGGGGTGTAAGGCAGGGAGAATGTTGAAGGTATACTGCTGCCATGTGTTGGTGTTGGTTGGGTTGAAGTAGTCTTTGTAGTCTTATCCTCCTCCTTGAGGGCCCTCAAATGGTCAATGACTTCATCTCCACAAGGTGGGATGGCAACATCTATATCCACTTGGGGCTGAGGGGATGGACCAGGATGGCCCCCAACATCACTCAATCCTGAACCCAAACCAATTGGTTCTGAACTGCCTTGAGACTGTGCTATAGAACCAGTGGTTCCTTCCACACCTTGTCGCATGGGCAGTAAACCATTAGGATGGTGATCCAATGAAGAGGATGCATTGGAAGGAATAGGGCTGATCCCTCCAATACCCATGAGGCCAAGTTGCTTGTTGGTTTGGTCCATCAAGGTGTGGACCAACCCATGGATGGAGACACTAGACTGGTTGATGTCCTGTTGTTGTTGGGATAGCCTGGCCTCAAAAGCAGCCTGGCGCTCCATGGTCTCCTCCTTTTGTTGGTGCAATGCCTCCACCAGTTGTGCTAGCTGTTGGCTAATCATGGTGGTATCATGCTTGGCAAGGTTGGAGGATGCAACAGATGATCCACTGGGTTGGTAAGATGGTGGGGGAACCACAGGTAGCCGGTGGACTGAGGGTGGATCCACTGGTGACTTGACAGGAGTGGATGGTGGTGGTTCAGTGCTACCTGGTGGTGTTGCCGGTGGTGGTGGTGGTGGCACCGGTGGTGTATTTGTTGCCAACGGTGTTGCCACATCCTGTGGTGGTGTCTGTTGCTGTTGCTGTTGCTGCAGCTGTTGCTGTTGGCGCTGCTGCTGCTGCTTCTTCCTCCTCTTGCTTCTGCTGGTACCCATGATGACCGCTGTTGTGCTGGCTGAGTGTGGTTCTGTAGAGGTGTTGAACAAGAACTGCCACGAAAAATCCAAATGTAGACTTGAGGTCTTGCACTGCTAGTCAATGACTAAACAGAGGCTGCTTGACACACTGATACCCTTGGAATCCTTCGAAACCGACTGGAAGGTGCTCTCGTGGTGTTGTGAGTTACACTGGATCGATACGTCGTACTCGAGTCGGCACCACGTATCTTCAATAAAGTATCTTCCGAGTTCGGAATGCAGAGGAAAATGTGAGGCGAGTTGATCGCGCGAACGTCGGCTTGCTTTCGGGACAGACGTCACTCGGAAGGGGTGCGTTCGGTACCGGTTTTGTGAGTCTCTTGTGAGTACCGGTTCCCTTTGCAGTACCTTCGCCGCAGGCACGACTGAGATTTACGTATCGAAAGTCGACAATGATGTAGGATCAATCTGCCGTTCCTATTCCACTGTCGACAGCCGTAACCACGCCGATTAACAAAGAACTGGCTGGTGTATCTTCTCAAGCACCTTCAGGTTAGTAGGTGGACGTTTTGGTTTCACTCCTACCGCTCCAGTTGTTGTGTCGCCGCTCGCGATGTGAGTTTCGGTTGCGATTGTCCGTCGCGATTGTCCTCTGCCACTCGACGACCGATTGTACTAAGACCGAGTCTATTAACCGAGGAACTGGCTGGTCTATCCTGTAGAGAACCCTTGAGTTGGCCAATGGACCAAGTGCTTCCACTTGAGACGGTTGTTATTCCAGTTTTCGGTCGTTCGCTGTGTCGGCAGTTGATCGGCGACAATTCCTTTGTCCTCGTCTTCTTCCTCCTCGATTTCCACACTACTAGCCATTCCTTGCGCTTGCAATCTGCGACAAGTTAATCCGATGAGATCCAGTCAGGGTAGATGCACAAGGAGCTGGCTGGGAGTGGAGAGCTCTGCTTGGAGCCTCACTCCTCTGACAGTGGGAATGGGCCAGCCACAAAGCTGGCTGTCACTGTTATTCAATCTCCACAGCAATGATTGAACAACTTACTCTTTGCCTTGGCACAATCCACACAGGAAGGCTTCGACTGTGGGGAAACTAGTGCTATTGAGGCTGTATCTGGTCAACTATCCTTTCATTACTTCTTCTTCTTTAAACTATGCTAAAATCAACTGAACACAAAATCCTCGACAGCACTCAGCCATGCAGCTTTGGCTCTCTTGCATCTCATTTGGCTGGTGCTGGCAAGCTAACTTTCTATATTGGTCTTGGCTGAAGAACTGCATCACCCTTGGGTATATAGAGTTCCTCAGCTATTTCTGTATTGCCAGATGGCTGTACTGCTGACCCTACTGTTGGAGTATACAGATGTCACAGCGATTCTTCCACCTGGCTAAACCAGCACAGCTGCTTCGCACCACAATGGGAGTTCACGTGGATTTCCACTCATCGCCCGAAAGCTCAAGGCTGGATCCGACCACAACCATCCAATACTCGCTGCTTTCCTCAAAGGACTCAGAGATGAAGATGGACCCCCTGACCGCGCCTACCCCGTCAACCTCTCCATCCTCCAAGCCATGCTCGATGCCCTGGACTACGACGACGCCACTTGGGGGACCCTCAACCGCCACGTCCGAGACCTCTGCATCCTGGCCTTCTTCTGGCTCCTACGCCCTGCGGAGTACCTGGATACCGGGAACCTTGAATCCCGAAGCCAAGCCTTTTGCCTCTGTAATGTCTCCTTCACTGTCCGCGGCGGCCTCCAAGTCCGCGGTGACACCATCTCTTTGAATGACGTGAAAAACCACGCGTGCCTCACCAATGCCACGTTTACGTTCACTGACCAAAAGAATGCTGTCCGCGGCGAGTCCGTGGGCCACCGCCCGACCTCTGATCCGTGGCTTTGCCTGGTGAAGTCCCTCGCGCGTGTGGTCTACCACCTCCGTACCAACGGCGCCGACGCCGATACTCCCCTCTTCAACCACTTCAATGCGGCCCGCAACCGGTGGTATCCTGTGAAGCCCCAGTTCATCACCAACGCCCTCCGCCACGCTGCGGCCCTCATCTCCCACGACACCGGCATCAACCCTGACAAGATCTTTGCCTGCTCCCTCCGTCCTGGTGGTACCACAGCCCTTCTCTGCGCCCATGTGGACTCGGATGCCATCCGCCTTCTCGGCCGCTGGAAGTCCGACGCCATGCTCCGCTACCTGTGCATCCAAGCCGCTGCCGCCACCCACCACTACTCCCAACAGATGTTGGACCACAGGGCGTACAACTTCCCGGGAGGCACCTACGATCGCCACCTCCTCCCGGCACAATCGCCCCAACACTTCAACGAGATTCTTCTCCACGAAGAACTCTACGAGGACTAACCTACCCCTAGTCCTCGGCCCCCTGTCCTCGCCTCCACCTGGACAGGGGGTAACTTCTCCCACCCCGCTACGCTCCCTCCCTGTTTTGCCTTTGGCTTTGGGTTGCACGACTCAAGGCTGTCCCGTGGAACATCACATTCCCGGGACTCCCTTTTGCCGTGTGGGATCCATCCGGGACTCCCCAGTCCCGGAATGGTACCCCGGGGACTGGAGACGGTCGGCTCAGTAAATGGCCGAGTCTCTCCACTCACCTAATTCTCTACTAGTCGTGTCTAGCTGCTCTGGGCGAGCGCAGCTTGTCTGCGCTCGGTGTTGAGCAGCAACATGCCTGGGGAACCCCCGTCCGAGTTCCACGCCCCGCAGCATGGAAACTTGAACCCTGATGGGTTCTCGCAACTATGACCCTAATCATGGTTGCCGAGAGGACCATCTCACAATTTGCAAAATTAATTCCCACGCTCCTCACCTACAACTCAAGTACATCTCTACATCTCGCAGGTGATCACCTGCGTTCCGGAAATGGATACCCCACATGATGATGCACCGCATCAGCTCCTCAATGCCTCTCGAACAAGATTACCCTTAAGGCAATGACGCCCGTCCAAGACCACATTTGGCAAGATCAACAGCGGCAAACATGAATCACTAAAGCCAGCGACCTAGCCAAGATCAGCCATTGAAAGGCCGATCGCAAGAAGGTTGTCTCTCTCTCAGCTCACAATTCTTCACTCAGCCGACGCTGAAGGCAAGAACCTAGATTAGATTATCCCACCTCTCCCTCCCTGGTTGCACGACTCAAGGCTGTCCCGTGGAACATCACATTCCCGGGACTCCCTTTTGCCGTGTGGGATCCATCCGGGACTCCCAGTCCCGGAATGGTACCCCGGGGACTGGAGACGGTCGGCTCAGTAAATGGCCGAGTCTCTCCACTCACCTAATCCTCTACTAGTCGTGTCTAGCTGCTCTGGGCGAGCGCAGCTTGTCTTATGAACGTAAAGAAGCTTTTCTTCGTTTTCTCTGAATCGGAATCCGTGATGTCAGAGTCAGCGTCATCTTGTTCTTCCTGTAGGGTTGTCAGTGACCTCTACAGTTTGCCTGACAGTTTGCCGATTGTAGCGAGGGTCTTGCTTTGACTGCTACTCGAGCTTTTCTTGCTCGACTTGCTTGACTTGCTACGCTTGCTCGACTTGCTTTGTTTCAACTTGTCGTCGTCATCTTTATTTTTGGTTTTGTCTGGACAGTTCGAGGCTGGATGCCCTGTCTCGTGACAGTTATAGCATTCTTTATCTTTCCAGAATTTGCTATCGAAGCCTGCGTTTCCGTTTCCGCAGCCTCTTCCTCTGCCACCACCCTGTCCTCTCCCGCCTTGTGCTGTCTGAGCAAAGGAGCTTCTGTGGGAAGTGGACTGTCGGGGGGTGTTACTCTTGGTGCGTTTGTCCAAGAGGTGTTATACGCCATGGATAGTGTGGGGATAGTTGTCAGTGCCTTTGGCATAGTCGTCCCCCAGGTTCTGTTTGAGTTTGGTGTTCTCAGCTGAACTATTTGTTAAGAAGATGTAGCTATAGTATCGTTCTTCAGCGTACTCCATGACTTTAGTCTGTTCCTCGGGTGTGAGGTCGTCGTAACTTTTTTGTGCAGCAGTTTAGCTGTATGTCGCATCGCTGCGTGGTGTACCTTGGAAATGCCCACGGATAGTGCAATGTCCTTCTTGGTGGTAAATTGCTCGTGGTATTCGGAAGCGGTAAGGTTCCCTTGGTGGAAATTCAACAGTGCCTTTTCCTGTTGATAGATGGTGTGGTACACGTAGTTATCATCTGTCTGGGCCATGATTGTCTTATGGATCATTTTTCGTAACTCCAGTGGGTCGCATTTCAGCAGAACGGTCTCATAGTCAGCATTCTGTATCATCTTGTCCTTCAACAATCGGGTGCATTGCCCGAGGATCAAGTTGAATGCTTTGCCCTTATTCTCTTGGAGTTTTGCTAACCTATTATGGTAGGTCTTCATGAGTCCTCCAAACTCTGTTTTCTCTGGTCCCCGGAGTTCCTCTTCCGGTGGATCTTGTATGGCTTCTTCTAGGTTGTCTATGGCATTTACGATGTTTGCTTTTTCTATCGTTAACGCTCGCCACCTATCTATTTCATTCGAGTCCTGACTGACTGCGGTTATCTGTTGGTCCAGCACCTCTAGGCTGGCCCAGTTCGCCTTTAGTAGACGTGTGTTTTTCTCTTTGCGTCGTTCGGCTGCTGATCGGAGCCTTGCCTGGGTCTCCGCTGAGTATGCCGGTGCTTTCAAAACGGTTGGTGTCAGGTTCGGGAGCTCATTGCCGATGTCTTCACCCATCTGTTGTCCAACGTAGATGGTGATCTTCTCCCATGTTCGTATCATTTGGTCTGCCGTTGCCGATCCAGTTGTACCGAAATTGAACACATGGTGTTCGAGGGCTTTGCATGAACCTGTTTGTTGGTTCGAAGACGATGGGCTGGATCTTCCACGCCCTCCTCCTCTGCCGCCTCTGCCGCCTCTGCCGCCTCGGCCACTCCTTCCTCTACCTCTTCCGCTCATGTCTATGCTACGGTAGGTGGACTATTTCATTTATTCTTTTTTATTGACTAGCTCTTTTATTTTAAGTTCTCCAT